ATTGTCATATATATAGACATATATGTATATATCTATATATTTATATTAACTCAAACATCGGCTCAAAAGTAATCGATTACTGCATTGTCACTCAGGAGGATAGATAACTACTTAGTTCTTCGCAGGCCATCCATGCGCTACTAACCCTGTCGCGAAGTGGCCTGTTTGTTGTACGGTTATAATTGGTCGAAGGTATGAACAAAATTAAATATAAAAAATATAAAATTGCACATCCGAAATTTAGTATTACCTTGTCCAATTGAATATGATGCAGAACTTCTCCATCGGTTTGAAAAGAAAATGTGTAATACGTAGTTGGCCGACAACGACTATACTCTAGTATGTACAACTCCATTTACACTCTAGTATAGCGGGACTACCGGAAACCCGATATGCAATACACAACACACCTTGGAACGTCAGCGATATCCGCCGAGGTTTGTGCTCATGCTCTGCGGTAGGTATCGCTATCCACTCCACCCTATCCATTTATCACCTCATCAAGTAGGATATGTATTTTTTTAATAAGTAATACATATACGTGGATATGTAACATACTTTATATTCGTAATAAGCTAACATTGAGCTCTCCGGAATAAGGGTTTCGGGTTTCTAGGTTTTCATCTGATCCGAGTGGGACTGTGCCGTATGAATAGAAACATCGCATGCAGTGTATTTTGACTATTGTTCCACCAATACGAATTACAAGCCACAAGAAGACATTGACATATGATATGAGCATTGGATGTACTGAGCGTATAAAGTGATATTCCTTCTCAAAATGTGCAGTGCTTAGTGTTATTTATTCTCACGTGTTATAGTGACTAAAGCATTATTCTCATACGTTTTAGTGTCTAAAGTGTTTATTTTTTTCTCACGTATTATAGTATCTAAAGTATTATTCTCATGCGTTTTAGTGTCTAAAGTTGGTTTAGGGTTTTAGAGTTTTTCACGTGTTTTAGCGTGTCTAAAGTGTTTATTTATTCTCACGTGCCATAGTGTCTAAAGTATTATTTTCATGCGTTAGTATCCATAGTGTTCATTATTCTCATGCGTTAGTATCCATAGTGTTCATTATTCTCATGTGCCATAGAGTGTCTAAAGTGATATTTCTTCTCAAGATAGAGTTCTTAAAATGCAATTTAATCCCCGGTGTTATAGTGTCAAAAGTTTTTATCTATTCTCATGTGTTATAGTGTGTCTAAAATGTCATTTATTCGCATGCGTTCCCGTGATTCCGAGGTATTGAATTGTACCAAGTGCATCAAGTGTTGTGTTGGTTTGTTCTCATGCCCTTCTTGGCACAAGGGCTGTTTGCGGCTGCTCCATCTGCTCCACCACATCCCATAGGTGGTTAGCAATGAACACTCGGGAGTACCGCGACGCTTCGTAGTGGAATGTGTGTCTGGAGACGTATTCAGTAGGGATGAGACAGTATAGGGGTGAGGATCTCAGGAAGGAAACTAAACCCGGATGAAAATAGTAGCAACGGTAGAACGGGTAGAATATCAAAGGGGAGAAAATCAAGTTTAAACCACGGATTTATACGATAGAGACGATTTACAGGTCAGGACCTCAAAGTTGAGGGGGGGGGGGGGGACAAGTTTAAGCCACGGATTCATATAGTAGAAACAGTACATGGGTTAGAATCTCAATGGGGAAAAACCCCCAAGTTTGCGGATGTGTGTAGTAGAGACAGTCTACGGGTTAGAATCTCACAGGGGGAGAGCCCAAGTTTAAGCCACGAACGTATAGTAGAAACCATACAACGGGTAGAAACTCAACGGGGAGAAACCCAAGTAAATAGAGACGGTGTAAGTGTTCTAAAAATGGAGAACCCCGAGGCTATAGCACACATGGCGGGCAGGAACACGATACTGCTGCTGTGTAGCGTGGTGATGGAAGATATGTCTGGGTTTATTAGTGTGTCAGGACGTGACGAGCATAGTCCATAGGAACCTGATAGAGGACCACTCTCACAATTGCTGTGGGTGTATTCAAGCAGGACAATAGGGTTTTAGGGTATGTTTAAGGCAAGGCAGGAAACGATTCAGATGTGAGTAGCGAGAAGAAGAAGAAAAACACTACAATCCAGATCATGAACACCTACACAGAAACTATTAACACAACACACGCCTACATAGTCTCGTGCATACACATCTGCAACAGGCGAACACCTACAGAAACTATTAACACAACACACGCCTACATAGCCTCGTACATTCACACCTGTAAGAGCCGCATGCACATCTCAGTGGCAAATCAAATGCATATATGTGGTGTGTGAACTTACGTTTGGCGCTGTGAGCTCTTTATGGTGCCCACCACTTGGTCTGGTTCATGGTCGTTATCGGTCCAGTTTATATTCGCCACCAGATTTAGCAGAGAGCAGATGGAGCTGTGCAGGTATGTGCGGAGCAGGAAAAAGATGTCGGCACGTGTCAGCTGCGTGTTCGGAGTAGATCGCGTAGATAAAACAAACTGGCTTGTCCTGTGCGACTCTGATAGGAAACGTAGTGGCGAGAAGTGGGCAAAAAATTGAAACCTTGGAAGTCGCCAGGTTACAATTTATGAATAATTCTCTTTAGCCTTCGTGAGCAAAGTTATATTTCCGCGTAGCATGGTGTAGCCTGACTGTTCTATACGCAGAGTAGTAGAGGTGTGAGAGGAGTGTAGGAGATAATTGTGAATTCTACGACTACTATGTATAACGTATAACAGAGATAGGTGACTGCTATATATGCATGGTAGCAGAGCTATGAGATACCGTTAATACTACGACTACATGTATAACAGTGGATGGGTGAAGTCTCTGTGGTATGACGCACGTTTAATGCACAACCGTTCCAGTGTAATATAACTGTATATACCTGTACTAAAGTCTTAAACACTTGTGTAATATGATATTATATACCTGTACTCATGTCTGTGCTTCAGATCTTCAATATCGCCTCGTAATTTGTTGGGATTCCTGAGCGACTCCAGAGTGTCCCGGAGAGGTCGCGACGAAACTAAATTAGGATTGGCATCTAATTGCCGTATGATTTGGCCCAGAACTGAAACCTGAATCGAAGAAATGGCATAGAAAGGCTTTAGATCTGCCAATTCTGTAGTCATATCCCAGTGTATTCTCTTCATATCTCGTATCGTACGTTTATGGGACAGTGTATACTCTTTATATGTCATATCGTACGTTTACGGGACAGTGTGTTCGTTTTATGTCATATCATACGTTTATGGGACAGTGTGTTTTCTATATATGTCATATCGTACGTTTAGGGGACAATATATTCCCTGTATATATTATAACGTACTTTTATGTGACAGTGTATTCTCGTTATATGCTAACCTTCTTTTGTATGGCAAAACATATCCAAATCAATTCGGCACGCAATTGCAGGTCACTCCCCTCACTGTGCTTGTACGCTAATTTGTCGCGTATAAGACTAAAAAGAACCGTTGAGGTGCACTGTGTATCCATTGTAACGTAACGGTACAACGAAACGGTCTGATAAAAGTGCACATAACACATAAATACAACCCTGCACATGACAAACTCGCCCTAGATTATACACACACACTAAGGGATGAATGACGTTCGGCCACAATACATGGTCCGTAGGCACAGTCTGTGTCTGCATTTGAAACCCCGAATTATTAGAGATGTGATATTCTCGCCACTTCATTGATCATAAGTGTACGGGAAGTTCGGGTTCCTGTAGGTACCACACACATAACACACACTGCATGTTGCGGCATAGGACCGCGCGCAAACTGTGGCTAAGCACGTCTATATATATATGATGTGTGAATACGTTAAATATATATACAAACGCTTCGCAAGTGTGAGGGTGTATACTCACATGTATATACGTCACAAAGGTAAGACATAAACGCATATGCATACCTTAGGTCAATGGAGATACATATATTGGGGTGTATAGCCCTACCTTTTGCACCACCTCTGGTCTGCGAGAGATGATATCGGATGAGAACTCGGCACTCCGCCCGGGGATTGCTCGAGCCATGTCTAGTTTCATACTCGACACACCCTCCACTATATCAGTCACATCCTGGAGCAGCTGTATTTGCTGTTGTATGCTCGTGTGCATCTGTGTGAAGCACAAAAGAACAAGGTGTGTGTATTCTCTGCTTAACAAAAAAAGATAGATGATATACTACATGAATCTGCATTCTGTGTGTCGTACTTTGTAGCAGCAGAATCTACAGTTGGATAAAAGTGTACAACTGTTAGATATATGATTGCATTGAGTACACAGGGATTTGTACATGTATATTCATATATATATATGAATATGTATATCTATATAA